AAAGCGCTTTATTTACTGTAACAAGTAGTTTGTCCCTCATGCCATTACTAGGAAAGGGAGATGGGTTTTGTGCTAAGAGGGCACAGGGAAGGGCACTGTTCCATTATAAATGGAAGTTGTTTGAGTACCTTGCACATACTGCTTTATTCACAGAGAATTCTTCCAGTAAATAATACACCAGTGGTTTTGATTGGAAGCATGAAAAACAACATACACTATGTTCTTATTCACGTATCCTGGCATTAAAAGTTGTAACTACAGTACTGCTGATTATAAGGTCAGATTTTTATGAATTATTTTTTAAAACCAATCTTACTCTAGCTCTTCAATGACACCCTCAGGGTACACAGACTTAAGATTCTCATTACATCCTTCCCCCCCTTTCCATTCCTGTACGTACAGACAGCTACCTTGCTAAAGCAGAAATGTGAATTTAATCAGATGCAATACAGCATCTTTAAAAAGATAGCACATATCTAACACCTGTCAGCTCATCAGTGTTTGGTCTGCTACTCTACAAATTACTACATATATCATTCCTGACATCTAAACTGATGCAGAGACTAAAATACAACTTATAAATTTTGTATTCCTCACAAGCAAGGCATACAGCAGACTATCTGTTCTCAAGCTTGGTCTTGGAACTTGTTTAGACACTTAAGAAATGGCAGTCCAAAACACTTTTTGTTTATCTAGAATATATTATGTATATGTATATATACTTATGCTATTTTTAATTAAAAATGTACAAATTTTCACTACACAGAGAGGCAAGGCATAAGAAATAGTAATGTGAACAGGGCACAATAGATCAGTGGATTAAACAAGACAGTTGTCTAGGGCAAATACATTGAGAATGTAGTCAGGGGCGTCTATGCCTCTCAGTGTAGAAGGCAAGGAAATGTGAAGGCACATACAAGACCAGAGACACAAATTGAACACCCCAGGATACCCAAAATGGTCTTGTGATGGTGGCAGTGATTTTAGTTGTGGTGGTTTTGTTGTATTTTAAGATATCGAATTATGTCAATTGAGAATGTTTTGGAAGTGTAGTGACTATATCCTAAAAGCTTGGCTGTTGACTTTTTTAAACACTTGAAATTTTTCAGCGCTATAAACTCTGAGAACATCTAGTGGATACATAAGAATATTTTTTCCAATGAGTTGTCAGATGCTGCCTGTCCCAGATATTTGTCCTTCCTATTCTTGAATATTTGTACATTTCACTTGATTATATTTTGAGCAAATCTCAAATATTTAGATGCCAGAGCTTTCTATGTGAAAATGTCATTTTAAAGCAACATTGTATTGAATTTCAATATTAAAATATATTTCCAATATTGTTTTTCAGATCATTCATTAAAATTACATGAAAATTGTAAAATCCTAGGTTACATATTAGAATGAAGTAATCAAAATAGCCAAACAATGTGTTATCATGATATAATTCTACTTAATCAAAGTATTGCAAATGACCAACTCTTCTGATGATTAAACATATAAGTATGGATTCAACAGTGCCATTAGAGCACTCATTTAAAAAATTTAGATTGTAGTAGATAATGGTTAATCTTTCAACTAGCATAAGTACTACCGTCTTTAAGAAAGGTTAAAAGATACAGCTTAATTTATGTAAAATATGCATCAAACATTCTGAATCATTTTATGGAAATTTGAATTGAAATTTAAAGAACAAAGTAACAGTTTTTCTTATTCAGTGTAAAAAATGAAAATATTGGACATTTTTAATATTTAAATGAAGAAATAATACGGGTTATGAACAATGCATTTATGAATGTTTATTAAAAACAATATTTAATAGTATTATTTTCTAGCATATTAAATAGTCTATAACCCTAGCAATTCATAAAATTGACAATACGTTGTTTAGCTAGTATTTATTTTTCCTCTTTATGGAATTATGGTGACATATTTCTCAGTAGCTGTATATAGAAAATTTTAACAAATTATTCAGTGCTCAATATGGCCTAGTGTGAGGAGCCAGGTTTAAGGAGAATTCACACCTAGCCAGAGGGGAATAGAACATTTTACTCACAAGGTACCTGGTTCTTTTACAAGTAAGAGGCAAATTTGGAAGTCATTTTTTTTTCCAGTTGGAAAGCTTAGTCTATAAAGTTAGAATTTACATTTAGTTAAATGATAATATCAAGCAGTTAAAAATAAAAGGAGTGTCAGTGGGAAGTTTCCCACTACATGAGCGATACATGGACCTGCTGTTCCAACATCTTTAAAAGCAGACATCTGCTAGTTGCGTGTCTTCTAACTCCATTTAAAAATTGCATTGCTGTTTTATTATGCATTTATTACAATAGATTGCTCATATAACATATTTTACATTGGATTTTGTTTTCACTTAGGGATTGATTTTTCCATGAAGTCCTCTTTTATTTCATCTCTTATAGGAAGAGGATCAAATAGCCTATCAATTCAAATAAGAATCATATGCATTGTAGTTATCGGTATTTTTTAAATAATATTATTTGCTAGATTAATTGTCACTTTACTAGTTACTTTTAGAAAGTCATAATTGTTGTAAAGACAATAAACTGGGGTAATATGATAGAGATTAAATGAGGAAATTGGTTAATTTAGGTATCATGGCTTTAAATCTCATTTACATTGAGACCTGTATTATAGAGAGATGGGGACATTATTTGCTCTAAGATGAGGTAGAGGGAAGAGGAAGTGTAAAGACTGAATTACAAACACGTTTGCTGTTTTGGTGGAACAGAGTGTGAGGAAAAACTGCCTGAGATGAGGTCCGGGAAGTGGTAGAAAGTCAGATTATGTAGGATCTTGAAGGCCATGGCAAAATATTATGTAAGGTCATCCTGCTGTGCTTATACAGTGGAATTAATTACCCAGGCCACCTCCACTGTATTACAGATTGTGACAGGCCTGATGATGTCCATGCCCCAAGCCTTGGAATCTGTGAACATGTTATGTTACATAAAAAAGAACTTTGCAAGTAGAATTTGGTTATGGATTGTACAATAGGGAGCTTATTCTGGATTAATTGATAGGACCAAAGTAATCACATGGGCCCTTAGAAATGGAAGAGGAGGGAAGAAAGTCAGAGAGATGTGACAATAGAAAAACAGGTAGGAGAGATTTGAAGTGTGACAAGGACTCCACCCCGCTTTTGCTGGTTTTGAAAATATAGAAAGTGGCCAAGAACCAGGGAATGTAGGATGTCCCTAGGACAGCTGAAAGACATACAGAAAATCAGACCTCAATTCTGTATTTGCAAGGAATCAAACTCTACCAAGAACTGAAAGGAACAAAGAAATCAATTCCCCTCTAGAGACTTCAGAAAAGAACGCGGGCTCCAACAGTGTGATGTCGGCTCAGTGAGACCCGTGTCAGACTTCTGACCTACAGAACTGTGAAATAATCAAGTGTGTGTTGTTTAGTCTGCTAAATCTGCGATAATTTTTTTTATGGCAGCAACTTGTATACCAACATTAAATTTACTAGTGATTTGAAGGATACAGGCAAGAGCTGCACAGAGATTGATGGAGGGCACTGAATCTGTCAGATTTAGCTTCCAAAATAGCTTCCCTTTCTCCAGTGTTTGGATGCATTTGGATGTCATATTAACAAATGAGTTTTGAACAACATATATATATATAAACAGGATACTCAGAGGAATTTTGGATTTGGGGCTCCTCAATTCTGTAACTCATCAGTTACATAGTGAAAAATGCATATGTATATATTTTTTTATTTGTGGTTACTTAAATTTTGGATACATAGACATAAATCATATTGATTATTTTTTCTTTCTTATAATCACTGTTTTAAATATCATGGTTAAAATTTGCTTTGTAAATAAGTTGGAGTACTTTCCTTACTTTTTTTCTATTCTTTAGAACCCTATGTATAAGCAGAAACTAATTTTTGAAATTGTATTTGAAATCACCTACAAAGTTGCCTGTGTCTAGTGTTGCCTTTTTGTATGAGTTTTTTTTTTTTCAAACGCTGTTGTAATTATGTTGATTTTGCTATGTTATATTTAGGAAACCCCTGGTGAATAACTGACTTTGAACTGGCCTCCTTGTGTATTAAAAATTGTAATGTCTAAGTTGGGTTTATAGAGTTAAGAGCATTTTAACATGATAGTATCTTACAGAAGAATAGAGCAAAAAAGAGAAATAATAATGGTACTTAACAGAAATATAATAAGATCTTTATCTAAAAAATAATTTTAGCAAGATACCTCCGGTTAGTCTCAAATAATTAATGTAAATATGCTGACTTTCTGGGAAATGGACACTGGGAGAAATAAAATAGTCCTGGTACTAAAATCTACAACAGTTTTCTATGCTGCAGAGCAAATTATCACACATAAAGTGGCTTAAAACAACAGACTGTTTACTACTTAACAGTTTTTGTAGGTCAGAGACCAGACATCTTCTGGCTGCTTTCTCTATTCAAGATCCCCAATTCTGCAATGAAAATGTAGGTGAGACAGCTTTCTTATCAGGAGACTCAACAAGAGAAAGGTTTGCTTCTAACCTCCACTGGGTTATTGGCAAAACTGATTTTGTGGCTGTAGAACTTGTGGTTTGCATCTTCAAAGCTAGCAACAGAATTTCTACTATAAGTCTCTGATCTCTGGACTCACTTTTAAAGGGTTCACCTGATTAAGTCAGATTCTCATTTTTTATTTACTTAAAGCTGATGAGTTATTTATATCTACAGAATCCCTTTACTTTTGCATATAGTATAATCTTATCTCGAACATGCTATCCCATCATCTTCGCCATATTGTTTTGGTTAGGAAGAAAACACAGGTTCTCTTGTTAAGGTTCTCTCTTGTTACTCAAGATGAGGAGATTGTACAAAGGCATGACCTTTGTTAGGGAATTGTTCATTCTGAATAAACTTAGGAGAGAATTGACATACAATTTTTTATAATTTCATTTTTTAAATTTCTACTAATGCTGTAGAAAAATCACATACTTTGACTTTCTTAATATTTAAGTCTGCTTTTAAAAGTAATCTTGCTAGATATTTGTCTACTTAATTTGCATTTCCAAAAAAAATTCCTTATCTCTAGGTGAACCTTAGATTGCATCTATATTTTTTCAGTTAGTTTATGTTATCTATCTTATTTCCCACTTTCATTTGTTTTTAATGCTATTTTAACTTCAAAACATTTGAGTAAAATATTTGCAAACTTTTTTAAAGCCAAATTTTATTTATTGAGGTATAATTTATTCATAGTAAAATTTAGTCTTTTTTGATAGAATTTATGAATTTTGACAAGTGCATATAGACATGCAACCAAGAACAAATCAAGATACAAAATATTTTATCATCTCCCAGGTTTTCCTGTACACTTTTATTATCAGCTCCTCCACCAGCTCCCATAATCTTGCAACCAGTGATCTATTTTCTGTCTCTATAGTTTTTTTAATTTCTAAAATGTCATATAAATGCAATTATATATGTTACATTTTAAATTTGGCTTCTTTCACTTATCATAATATAATTAAATTCACCCATATAGTTTTGTGCATCAGTAATTTAACTTTCTACTTCCAAGTAATATTCTACTGTATTGTTTTTCCATTTTATAGTTGAAGGACATTTGAGTTGTTTGAAATGTGGAGTGATTATGCATTGTAGTGCTATAGACATTTAAGTACAGACCTTTGTCTGAACACAAATTTTAATTTCTCTTAAGTAAATACCTAAAATTGGAACTACTGGGACACATGTGAAGTTTTTAGATAAAAGTTTATAAGAATCTGGAACACTATTTTCCAAATACCTCGAATAATTTTTCATTCTGCCTGTGATGGAGGGGAATGGCCACCACTATGAGAAAGTCATGAAAAGCAATTACAGCAGATCTACTAAGGAAATGCTCTGACACCTCCAGAGCACAGGTGAAGACCTATTGAGTCTGAGAGAAGGAAAAACTAAAAACAAAAAAACCCTCTACTTTAGAAAGAATGGAAGGATAGCTTGGGCTTATACCATTAGAAATCTCCTATTTTGAAGGAAAGGCACAACATTCTGTTGCATAAACTCACCAGGTAGAGAGGGCAGCCACTGGTAGCCACAAACAGGAGAGCCAGAGTTACTGAAATAATCCACCTTTCAGGCTCAGGACACAGGCCTGCGTAAGAAAGAGGGTGGATTAAGTCAACAGAGAAATTTTCCTCAATTCTACCACCCAGCTTATAAGAAATGAATAACAAGCAACAGTAGCATACTTCTAATCAAAAGGCAAAGAGATGGAGAGATTTCCTATTTGAGGCTCAGGCACAAAAGTAAGGCAGAAAGCTAAAGATGGAAAATGAACACTGAAGAACACTCATTAGCATCTCAGCATCGAACCCAGTCAGCAGGATAATATTAGAGGTGTTGACTTCAGTGTATTAAAAGTAATCATACCAATAATAAAGGCTAAACCCAGCTTAATTTTGTTTAACATTTTTTATTGAGTTATAGTCATTTTACAATGTTGTGTCAAATTCCAGTGTAAAGCCCAATTTTTCAATTATACATGAACATACATATATTCATTGTCATATTTTTTTTTCTCTGTGAGCTACCACAAGATCTTTTATATATTTCCCTGTGCTATACAGTATAATCTTGTTTATCTGTTCTGCATATGCCTGTCAGCTTAATTTTTGATGAGCTCATCTCAACCTCCCCTCAAAACACAATAACAACTGAACACTAGAAGTAGCATTCTCATCTTCAAGCATAAAATTGTTTACTTTCATTCTACTGTTCTTCTTTTCTAGACAAAAAGTTCAGTAATTCATCAGAGATTATGAATCACAAAAATGCAACAACAAACATTGTCAAGAAACAAACAAACCAAAATAACAACAACAATGGGACCTAAGTTGGACATGATCTAGACAATGGAATCACCAAAGAGGAAATTTAAAATAGCAATACTTAATATGTTAAAAATTTTAATGGAAAAGGTTTAAAACATGGAAGAACAGATAGGCAATTTCAGCAGAAAAAATGGAACTATAAAAAATGAAATAGAAATGCTCAGAAAAAGAAAGGAAAAACATTGTTATGGCATTAGTTTTCTATTGCTACATAACAAATTTGCACAAACTGGTTTAAAACAACAGCCATCTATTATCTCACAGTTTCTGTGGGTCAGGTGTCAGTGAAGTATAGGTGGGTCATCTGTTTAAGGTTTCACCAAATGTCAGCTGTACTGCACTCTCACCAGAGGATAGCTTGGGGAAAGATCTTTATCCAAGCTATTGATGACTGTGGCAGAATACATTAGTTACAGCTATGCATCTCATGGTGACTTACTTCTTTCAGATTAGCAGGAAAAGGACTTCCTCACCTCAGGAAGAAATCTAGTCCTTCATCTAAAGGCTTTCTCCTGATTGACAGAGGCTCACTCATAATGATCTCCCTTATGATGAACTCAAGAACAACTGATTTCAGATATTTATTATGTCTGCCAAAACTTACCATTTTCCCTTGATTTGTTGGCTAGAAGAAGTGTTCTACCTGCACTCAAAGGGAGGGAATTATAGAAGGATGTGTCTCATTAAGGTTCACCTTATGGTGTGTCCAGTATAGTAAACAATCTGGATCCCAGTAATACTTTATTCCCCTACCACGTGCAGGATACATTTGCTACATCCCATTCCAGCATCAGCTCCAAGCCCAAAATCTTGTCATCTAAATCATGTCCATGTCATGAGGTTGATAAATGTGATCCATTAAATATAGCTCCTGGGACACAATCCCTCACCATGACTCATGAAATTAAATAGGACAAGCTATCTTCTTTCAACCCATCTAACATAATACAGTAGAACAGGAATAGAATAAAGGCTATGGGCTTTTTGATTCAAAAGCAAGAAAAAAGATGGTAAAAAAATAAGTCAATGGTCCAAGGCAGTTCTGAAACACAGCCAGGCAAACTCCAGCCAGATCTTGATTTGGTTTCAAGTTCTGGTGTTAATACACTGTGAGTTTCTATACCACCTTCTGAGCTATTGGTTCAGTTATCTGAGTCATCCTTGCTTTATCATAAAAGATAACACATTTCCATATCTGAGTAGTTTCCTCAGACTATTTTCTTGCCAGTAGAATTTTGAAGGTCTAGCGTCCTCCTTTCAGTATATTCTCTTTCTTTCCCTTTTAGTACAAGCTGTCAATGTTTATATAATTGGATAAATTAAATGGAATTGACAGATTTACAAAGGTATTAGAAAATATGATGTATTTATCATAGTCTAAAAAAATTTAATTGTGATTAATGGTAAATTTTATTAGATATTATTATTTTTTAAATAAACAATATAAAATACTTATAACCAGCAGATCAAATATACTTGAAAACATTTTTCAGCCAACTTATCATGGTGGTACTGCTATTCAAAATCTAATATTGTAAGTAGGAGGCTTTAATGGCTAAGAATATAGTTGATATTATCGTTATTTACTCTTTCCTTGTCAAATTTAATCGCAAGTTTCAAATCAGCATTAATGTAAGTTCTTGAGCAAATACACAAATATTTGGATTATATCCCAGAGAAGAAATGTTGACTATGTACCAAAACAAAGATAAGTCAACTCGCTTAGCTTTCGGTAGAAGATTGTAACCATAAAACTTGATCATTTACTTCTTAAACATACATAAATTTGTCAGCCTATAGTAAAGGATATTTATACCTCAGAGATGTCTCTGTTTAACATATCATCTTAAATATAATCTATGGTAGGAAAGTCTCTCCCATAATTTTTTATGACAGGTCAAATTATACATTTGAAACCAATATAATTGCATTATTTTTAGAACTAGTAAAGAACTTCAGTAGCTGGTAAGATCAAATCTATTCTGTAAAAAACAAGATGAGAGAGTTCTAAGATCATTGTATAAGAGGCGGAATTATCAGCAACATGCACATTATTCCTGATTTGTTTATGTCCATTTTGTTTCCTGGTGAGACACTGTAAAAGAGAGTCATAAGACTCAATAATTTAATAATAGTAACAAACTATGCATATGTTGATAACCACTTTCATTATAAAAGTGACATGACAGCTACATCAAAATATGGTGCTTGTGGCTCAGGATGGGAGAATAAGGAGCTAGAACTACAGTAAATATCCATGTTTCCTTTTAATTTTCCCCATACTGCTACTAGAGTGACATGCTAAACATAATTAGCCTGTGCAAGTACATAAGGCAGAATTAAAATTGCATCGTTACAATTCTTAAATCCACTTAAAAGCTATCTACAAGGCATAAGAGATGATGCAAGGGACGTTTTTCAATTTTTAAAATGTTTTTAACTATGATATTTCTGTCAAGTTAAATCCCCTAAAACTCTATATTTGGTTTAATACTCTCCAGTTTCCTACAGCAATCTGTTGATATGGCTACAACTCCATATAATATGCATTTGAATTGGTGAAATTCATTATAAAGCATGTCTGTTTTATGTATGCACTGCAGAAATAAAATTGAGAAGAATGTTTATTATGTTACTTTATGACTTTTATAAAACGAACCATGTGCTATATTTTTTATAAATCAATATTAGGAAAAAATTTATCTCTACAGAAAAACAAAACAAATTGCAAAAACATAAACAAGTAAAACATTAAAACTGTTTTTTAATAACACAATGAGAATTAAATATCTTTTCAAGTTTTCTTTTTTCTTTTTTTAATGTCTTCGCTTCCAGAAAATTAACAAAATAAAGCTTCTGACTTAGTTTCCCAAGTTTTACCGGTTATTCATATAATCATGACCCTGTTTTATATTTATTAAACATGTATATATATTTGTGTATTTTATGTTACATCACCTAATGTTCTACAAGCCAGAGAAACTTGATTTGCAAGATCAAGATATATTCTCTATTTTAATGAAAATATGGGTCTTTTTGCTAAACAACAAAACATTTTTTAGCTATTAAAACTAATTTTTACCTTGGATCTTACCTCGCCTTGATACCACATGCCATGTTATGTAAGTATCTCCAATAAGGCATCATTTTTTCTCTTGGCTAGTCCATCTTTTTTTAAAATACTTTATTGTTTCTAGAATGCTGTTTGAAGGTATTTACTGTATATTAAATATTTCAAACATATTTTAAGAATGCATTCATTTATTAATACATTTTAGAAATATTTAAAATAACATTTAAGAATATATTAATTTTTCTAAATATTGCATAGTTCATTCCATATCTCACATGATACTTAAAAATGTATGTATCTTTATTGACCAAAAACATGTTTTTGCTTTATTTAGATAAGTATTTAGATAAGTTAGGGATAAATTTGTTCCTTTTTACATAGTTGTTAAAGCCAGCCAAACTTGTACACATGCACACATCGTAAAGAAGAAACCTCACTTACCTCAAACAAATGTATTCTATGGACAAATGGAAAAAACTTTTAGACATACAGAATTGTCACTGTGTTAAAAAAACATTTTGACATAAATTTCAATTGGCTCAATTTAATTCAAAATCTTTGCACAAATATATTTTGTCAGTTCTGTGGTTGCCATTCTTGTCAATAAAGGTTACATACATGGGAGATTAAATAAAAGTTTGTAGTTAATCTGAAAAAAATTAAAGAGCTCAACTGTAATCAAGAAAGAGAGCATTTAAGCATTTAATCTTAAATAATGCCTTTATCCCACCTGAGTAGTCTCTTTGTTCATACCCCTCCTGTGGCCAGTGGAATATAAATAATTCCTAACTTTTTGTGCTCAACTATTTGAGGATTTTTTTCAACACACCACTTGATTATTTTAGCAAAATGATTATTATCTTTGTAGGTATTTTAGTAAAATAATATTGTAATAAATTCTTAAACTGAGATTAGCTGAAGAA